CCTCATTGAATAGACGGGCTGCCTCCTCCCTTAATTGCCTGCAATCCTCGGTTTTGTGACCATGCGTGCCATGATACTTGCATATCAAATTTGGGTTTCTTTGAGAAGGATCAATAAGTATGGGTTTGGGCCACCTAATATCTTTGATCCTTCCGATTGCCGATACAATGCCTGATGCATCAATGCTAAAGTTATATTTCGATAACCGAGGTGCTTCTGCGGGATCGACATACTTGTCAAAACCACTCTTGCTCATAAATCCCCGAGAATTCTGTCCTCGATCACTTCTCCGATCGTTTCGGGCGGAATTCCGTCCTGAACCATTATCCTTGTTGTTCCTTCGATCTGCGGTATATGGTTGATATCGGTCTCTGTTCGACCTTGGCTCCCTGTCGACGTCCCTCTGGTTTTTAACTGCCGACCTATTTGGATGTGCTGAACCGGAAGGGGCTCCCAATTGATCGTCCTCGACCCTGATCTTCGATTGGTATCGATTGTGCACATCTGCCCAAGTTACTGCTGGATATTCGATCAAATTTTGTTTCAACTGACGTGATGCTATCGAACTCCGCTCGTTCAACCCTTGGGTGAAAGCTTGAACGGCCCAATCATCTGTGACCGGTGGCAACTCCATGCGTTCCATTTAAAATCGGGACATGAACTCCCTCAACATTTCATTATCTCTTTGTCGTACCTTGAAAAGGTCCGATTTCCTCGTTGTGACCTTTATGGCCCCGGCGTCTGCCTTTACAAAAGAATCTGCTAATATAGCAAATGAGTCGATGGAATTTGGTGGCAAGTTATGATACCAGATCATTTCTCCCTTCGAAAGGGTCTTTCCGAATTTTTTTAACAACCACTACAAGAAAATCACATATTACATAGGGATTTTGTTGAGGATTATATAGGAAAATCCGCACCGAATAAATTCTGATGGAAAAATCTTCGTAGGTAATTATTACCTATGAATTTTAAAAATCCCCAGGTAAGTTACTTGTGGATTTTGAATCCGCACGTAAATTACTTGGGATTTTAAATCTGTATGTAAATTACCTGAGGAATTTTCCATAGAAAATTCTAAATATCCGCAAGTAAATACCCATGAAAATCCTCAAGTGCATATGTTGAAATTTTTAGACGAAAAATTAAAATTACTATCATAGTATTTTTAAATGTACATGTAAACCACACCCAATACATTCGGGTTTTTTAAATTCTTACAATTGTTAAGTCAAACATACTAAACCACAAGACGCATATATTGCTACCGAAGCCCATTACCGGTATCGTCGTTCCAACAAGCGTAGTTTATAAAATGCAAAAGCTTACAACTCTTGGCCGATGTGGGACAAGAATGTCCCCACTTCCACTTCCCAATTTAGTAGTACTATTTACTTACTAATGCTTACTTCTTATTTTTTGTTTTTACTTTTTATTTAGTAAAAGGATGCATTATTTGAGGATTCCATAAATCAAATGGAACACTCTTTTCCAAGTAATAACAAATTACACGTATATTACTTCTAATTTTAAGAAATTCTTAGTTATTTTTCAAATTTTCATTTATATTTCTCAAATAACATATTAATTTCTTTTTTATATAAAAAATACATTAATTAAAAAGAATTAAATACATTATACATGATAATTAGTAAGAATTATTTCGCTAATCCTAATAAAGTATACATGATTGAGTTATTTTAATAATGGTAGGATTTAATCAAGAGATGATGTTAGAAAGTTGAATCATAAGATCATTCGATATTAAGTTTCAATACTACCAATCTCAAACTATTTCATTTTATACGTACTATAATTGAATTTTATCTAATTAAATACATGTGAAAAAAATGACATACATAAGATAAAAAGTTAATAAAACTTAGTTACATTTTTATAAATGTGACATAATTTTTCTCTGCTTAGAAATTAAACTTAAATACTTCTCAATCATTTAATTACATTTAATATATTTTCTGATGATATTAGCTGAAATATGTCAAATATAGTCGTATCTTAGTTTTATCATGTCCTTTATACCAACCATATTAAAATTTTAATTGTTAAAATAATTTACTTTTTGATAATTATTTTGTTATTGAATTTACTAAAAAAGGTAATAACCGACTATGTTATGCTTAATGATTTATAATGCCCAATCCAAATATATATACATCATTATGTTTTATATAGTCAAAAAATTTATATTTACATATACATAAATCGACAAAATATAAACATAAAATCAATTCCTATGGATATTTTTTACATATAGAGTTTTTGTAATTTTAGAAAAACATAATTTTTAAATTAAAAAATAACTACTTCTTAAAAATTCATAATATTTTTTAAAAGTATTTAAATAATTTAAAACTTAAATATAGAGTTATAAAATCCTCAAGTAAATTCTCAAATATTATATATCCAACTAAAACAACAACAATAAAATTTCTATCTACATCCTAAGAATAAATCCCCATTTAAACCCGTAGCATGAAACAATCAAGTAAATTCTCAAGAAATAATTTTTATTTAAAATCACACAAATAATCTCTATTTAATTTCTTAGCTAATATTATTTCTAGTTAAATCCCAAGCTATATCATAAAGAATACATTTCTAGCAAGAATTACAACAATATAATCCCATATAATTCCACCAAATAAGTAAATCCCCAAGAAAATAAATTCAACTAAATTCACAACAACAAAATCTCTAGGTAATTTCCAAGGTAAGAAAATTCAGAGGTAAATTCCCAAAAAAATATCCCTAATTAAATTTGCAGCAATAACTTCCCAAGTAATTCCCCAGCTAAAAGAATCCCTAGGTAAATCCTCAAGAAAAAATCCCCAACTAAATTTGTAGCAACAATATCTTTAGGCAATTTCCCAAATAAGTAAATCCTCAGGTAAATTCCCAAGAAAATATCCCCAACTAAATTCGCATGTAGAGTTACCTAGGGATTTTTCTTCGGAATAACATAGGATCTGTTTTTCATTTTCTTTATTTGTTTACCTGCGAATTTTCTTACGAAATTGTACTTGCCGATTCGTTTCCCCAGGTAATTGCCCATGTAATATTTTGGCGCATAACGGCGCCAAAGTTACCTACAGATTTTCCTAGGAAAATAATTTTTGCAGGTAAAATATTTTAAGTTTAAGGATTTTAATGTTTTTCATAAAAATCCGCAGGTATTATCTGCGAATAAAATCCCTAGGTAAATTCCCCATGTAATTAGCACTTTTCTTGTAGTGAACACAGATTCGATTTCATCATCCTCTAAATCGTTACCCTTGATGACGCATGTATATGAAGTAACATGCTCGTTAGGAACGGTGGTACCATTATATTTGGGTATGTCTGGCATACGAAACTTCTTTGGAATAGGTTTTGGAGCCGTACTTGGAGGAAAGGGCTTTTGTACAAACTTCTTTGAATCCATCCCTTTCAAGATTGACGGTACCCCCGGTATCTGATCAACTCGAGAGTTGTATGTCTCCACTTTTTTTTTATCGTTGGCTTCGATTCTCTTCTCCCCTCATTTAATTCTTTTGGTGAGCTCCTCGAGCATTTTAATTATCGCAGGATCAGTCCCTGATTCGTTACCATTCGGCCTCTCCGGTATTGGCTCAGTACAACGAGTAATTTTCGGCTTGACCCTATTCGGAGCTCTATGTTGATTTTGTAATTGAGCAATAACGGCTTGCTGAGCTTGAAGCATTTCGAATATTACTTGGAGACTGACTCCCTCGTCTCCTCTCCCCTGTGTTCTTTGGCCACTAGATCGGTTTTCTCTGCGTACACTCCCATCGATATCTGCGCCTAGGTCCGCATTTAGAGCAACGTGCGAACTGACATCGACGGGGTTGGCAACCGATGCTCCCCCGTGATTAGCCTGTGGCAATTCGATTCCTGAAGCAACCACATTTTCGTTTTCGCCATGGAATCCGAGGCCATTGTCACCGTGTGTGGATGCGTTTTGTGAGTTTGACATGTTTTAACCTGAAAGCAAAGATATTTGACAAGAACAAGCGTAAAATAGTGTGTTTCACCAGAATTAGTACTGAAAAATCATTATCCTTGGCCCCACGGTGGGCGCCAAACTGTTTACCCTAAAATTTCGAGTAACAATTAAACTTATTTAGTGGTTTCAAGGATACGTGATTTAATCCAATACTAATTGATAAATAAAGAATTAAATAGATAATCTGAATAGTAAAATAAATCGAACCAGTGTTCTGGTAGTGCTTTCGACTTCGATTCGAGATGGTCTCGACGTTGGGTAACAAGAATGATAAAGAACATAAAATAAATAGTGATGAGCAGTAGTAGATAGTAAGTGAAATAGAAAAAGCAGTGTATGTGTATATGTTTATCAGTGAATCAATCCCCCTTACAAATGAATGGGGTCCCTCTTTTTATATTAGAGAAATCCTAAATAAGGTACAATTCTAATAACGGAAACAAATCCTATGATTGGCGTCAATAACTGCCTGATTCGATCTGTTCCGTGATTTTCGCCGAGATCTTCGGTCGATTGCTAATATCTCGCCATTCCGTTATTATGCCTTACTTGAAGTCGGTCATGCTCGGTCTCGATCTTCAGCGAGCACTTCGATCTTCATGCTCCATACTCTGCTATTGGGCTCGAGCCTGGTCTATTACGAGCTTACTCTCGAGGTAGCTACTCGTGCCTACGAAATCGGACATGCCCGATTTCGACCGTATACAAATATTATATTATTATTTCATAAATTTTAAAAATTAAAGATCCTCGGGGCTTACGCCCCATGTCTCGAGATTTTTGCTTTGTCCGTATTAAGTAAAACGTCCCGTCTCACGCTCTCGCCTTTTAAAACACTGGTATTGAAGAGTTAGCATATGAGTTTTTTTAATTAAGTGTTGCGCTTCAGTTGTCATACAACCTTATGGCTATAATTTTAGTTTTATTGAAGTGTTAAGTGACACAGAATTGTAGAATTTGGTTACTTATACTCTGATCCAGGCTCCTTACTACAGTTTATAGGAGACTGTTGAGTGCTAGTTTATCTTCAAATGTGTCGTAGCTATGTTGACTTTCTGTCGGAGGAAAGCTATCTCCTTTGGCAACAATATTTTTTTAACTCAATCAAGAACCACAGTAAAATTAGTAGACTACATTTTATCTTCAAAAGGTGTTTGATGTTTTTTTTGGGGGGAGGGGAGGGAGAGGAGGCATGGTTGGCCTCATAGATCAAGAGAATCATAATTCTGATCGCATAAGCAACCAACCTTGAAAGTGCTTGTAACCTTATAAAGCAGCACCTCAGCTAACAGACAAAGTTTGTGATACAAGCAAACGATAAAGTATGAAACAGAATAGCTTCATTTGGCAGCCTTCTGTTTCTTCGTAGCCATTCCATTTTTGATTCAGCTTCCGCTCTACTCTCTTGTTGGCTTGTTGCTCATGAAATCCCCCTTTATAAATTCCGATCTCTACGTACCATTTCTGTTGCCCTGTACAGAAGTAAAGAATTCATATAGACAGAGAAAGAGAGTGCTGCTTTATAGATTGATAACATTAACACAGAGGAAGGAGAGGGAAGATGTCGGATTGGGGTCCGGTGTTTGTAGCGGTGGTGCTGTTCGTGCTGTTATCGCCAGGTTTGCTGATTCAGGCGCCGGGTCGCAACCGATTCGTTGAGTTCAGCAACTTTCAAACAAGTGGGGTGTCCATACTGGTTCACTCTGTTGTCTACTTCGCCCTCATGTGTATCTTCCTATTAGCCATTGGAGTCCACTTATATATGGGTTCCTAGTAAGCCATTTTCCTTTTATGCTTTTCCGGTTGTGTCATCGGTGGTTGTCATATGTCTTGTGTCGTTGGTTTTGGCTTGTGCTTCCGTAGCAACTTATGATGTGATCTGATGTATAATCTATTTTGAGAGCTCTTGTTTTTACGTAATTGCTCTCTTTTTACTCGTGTGAGATGTATGATCTGATGAGAATTAAGATTAATAATAATATTCACTATGTGCGTTGCCCTCTTCTTTTTTTTCCTGTCATAGAAACAGTGCGAAATGAAATAGCTGTTCATCTGACTGTGGTCGTGATGACAGAACTATGACTTTTTCTGCCAACCAAGCAGAGGAAAAAGAGAGGAAAAAAGGGGATTGGTTAAGGATTTAAAACGACAACATTTGAAATTTCCCGGAAATCTGCAAATAGTGATGGCCAAATGAATATTAGCGGGTCCCTAGATTTATCAAGATAAACAAGTTTTTGATCTAATATATTTATAGAAGAAATGAAATAAGGCTTTTCAGAAAGCCGATGTGAGATTTTTCTTGAACTACTTGTAAGCTGTCTGTATGAACTGTTCACAATTTGGTTGTTTAATAAGAAACTGATCAGCTGCTTGAAGATAAATTTCAATGAAGTACTAAATCGATAACCATCTTCAGAAAAATTATCTATATCCGAGTAATAAATGGACATCCATATATATATAAATTAGAAGTTTGAATAGCTTAAGCACCAAGTTGGTGCTTGCCACTGGCTAATTTGATCAGACAGCACTTTGACTTTGAAGGCAGTGTGAGATGAGTCTATCAAGACCTCTAGATGAGATAAAAATAGAGATAAGAAGTATACGCAAGCAATGAGAATTTCTAAAATTTGGATCGGCATGTATACATGGATCTTCTGATAAAATAACACTGACGTATTATTACAGTTAAACTTCAATACCTCTTATGCCAAAAAGCGTTCAACATTATTTTAGAAAGAAAAGTATATATAAAGCCAAAGTGCTTCCTTTATGAACCATGCGGCTCTTTATTTCCTTTGAGTGGCTTCATCGGTAAAAGCTTTTTATATTCAGTTGTCTATTCTACGTAACTTTTAACTTGAAAACTGTAGGTGGCTTGTGCTTTAATAAATTCCCTGTGGTTCAAACTGACTCCAGAATCTTAACCAATATATATGCTTGTCTAGATTCTAATACAGTATTCCTCCAAACTAAAGTAGAAGATTCCTAACTCTTTCTTGGCAGTGTCCTTCATAATTAAGCTATCACTGTTAGATTAACTGTGGCTACTACTAGTTCTTGAAACTGTTTTTCCAATTTTCATCCCACGGGAAATAGGTAGTTAGCGCATCTTTTCATCGAGCTGGTTGAATGGCGGACTGGGGACCAGTGATCATTGGGGTGGTACTCTTCATACTGCTGCAGCCGGGGCTTCTGTTTCAGATACCTGGAAATGGCCGATCTCTGGAGGTCGGGGGCATGAAGACCAACGGCAAAGCCATTGCTGTTCACACTCTCATTTTCTTTACTCTCTATGCTATCCTCATTCTTGCCGTTCATGTTCATATCTATACTGGCTGAGCCTTTACTTACCATTTTCGCTGAAGCAATAACATCTGTATTTGATTTTCTTGAGAAAATAAAGAAAGATTTTATGTCTCATTTCTGTTACTGATTGTTTAATATAAAAGAATTCTTCCTTTTCGACTTTTAATTGGGATCTGAACTGCCTACTATTTCCCCTTGTTATCAAAATCTGATTACTAGTACAGTGCCATTCTCCACGAGACTTTGCTAAGGTTTCCGGATTATGCAAGAAAAAGATGGATGCACAACAACAACAAACTCAGTGTATCCCGTGCACAGACCTTACCGCCACCTTCTGATGGATGCACTAGCTCTTTGTTAAAAACATACACAAGAGTACTATCGAGCTCGAGTCAATATCGAGCTCGAGCCAATATCGAGCTATGGCATGACGTAGTACTATCGAACTCAAGAGTCAGAGACCGACCAATATCGAGCTCGAGTCAATATCGAGCTCAAGATCCAAAGATCGACCGATATCGAGACCGATCAAGATCGAGCTAAGAGACAAAGAGCCGTTGTAGCCGCACTAGGGAGAGAATCTCGGCGGGAATTAATGGAAAGCAAATTAATTAATTTATCATGGGATCTCCACTATGTATTTTTTATTATATCCAAAGCATGATTTTTCCACTATATGAAGGGTGATATCATTTTTGTAATGGGCATTCAAGAGAAGAAAACATTGATACACTCACATTCTAAAGATGATTACCATGTATCTTTAGAACTACGTATAAATTCAACTCTATCCGTTTTTCGGATAAACAGTTTGGCGCCCACCGTGGGGCTAAGGATAATAGTGGTTATTTGGTACGAATCTCTGTGAAACACACTATTTTATACTTGTTCTTGGAAGTGTCTCTGATTTCAGGCTGAAAACGAAGAATTCTCAATTAATAGCCCTACCTATCGACAACGAAGCTGGCCTTCAAGATGAAAATAACAACTTAATGTCCGGTGGTGAAAGGCCACTTGTCGATCCCGTTGGAACTCGGGTCGAAGAACCAATAGACGTTAACTCACATGTGGCCATCGAGGCAAACCAACGTTCCGACCCTGAAAATAGCATTCATGGTGGAACTCGATCTGCAGCTCGAAATACCTAAAACGCTAAGAAAAAACGGAATCAGCTTGCGTATGATTTTCAAAATGTTGCAAGCTCAACAAGTAGCAATAGCCCAGTTGCATAGCAAAACCCAGGCACCAACCAGGCTCGAGCACAGTCCACCCCAAGAAGTCAACGACAAAACGGGGCCAGCTGTAGTGAGGTCAAATGAGCAAGAATCGGGGACTAATCCCAAAATTATTTAGATGCTCGAGGAACTAACAAAACGAATAGAGTCAGGGGAAAGGAGGATTGAAGCAAATGACAAAAAGGTGGAAACGTATAACGCCAAGGTTGATTAGATCCCGAGGGCACCACCGATATTGAAAGGCTTGGATTCCAAAAAATTCGTACAAAAGCCTTTCCTCCCGAGCGCAGCTCAAAAACCGATCCCCAAGAAGTTCTGCATGCCCGGAATTCCTAAGTATAATGGAACAACCGACCCCAACGAACACGTCACCTCTTACACATGTGCCATTAAAAGGAACGATCTAGAAGACGACGAGATCGAATCTGTATTATTGAAAAAATTCGGTGAAACCCTGTCAAAGGGAGCAATGATATGGTATCATAATTTATCGTCTAACTCTATCAATTCTTTTGCTATGCTTGCATATTCTTTCATAAAAGCACACGCTGGAGTCATAAAGGTCGAAACCAGGAAGTCAGACCTTTTTAAGGTAAGACTAAAGGATAACGAGATGATGAGAGAATTCGTATCTCGTTTCCAAATGGAACGAATGGACCTACCACCAGTCACAGACACTCAAGGTCTGAACGAACGAAGCTCGATAGCTTCACGACGGTTGAAGCACAACCTGATCGAGTACCCAGCTGTTACCTGGGCCGATGTTCACAATCGGTACCAATCGAAGACGGGTAGTTGGGTTTTGGGTCCGTTATTAAAAGGGACATCAATAGAGAACAAAGGCCGATCAAGGACCGATACCGGCCGTATAGTGGAGATTCTAGGGGTAACGAGCCAAGAAGTAACCTCGTACAAAACTATAAAAGAAGTGATCGAGGCCAAGGGTCTCGGGGGCTGATGAACAAGAACGGGTTTGACATGCATATTGGACCTAAGGAAGCACCGATGTTATCGTAATATAACTTCAACATCGATGCATCCGCCATCGTGTCGGCGGACACATCAAAGATACTAAATGGCCTCGACCTCTGCAGACCAATCCAGCCCAGAGGAATCCCAATCAAATATGCGAATATCATGGCACCCATGGCCACATAATGGAAGATTGCAGGCAATTGAGAGAGGTAGTAGCACGATTATTCAATAAAGGACACCTTCGAGAATTTTTAAGTGACCGGGCCACAGATCATTTCAAAAACAGGGATTTCAGAAGACAAAACGAACAAGAAAAGCCACAACACATCATCCACATGATCATCGGTGGGATCGATATTCCCCGAGGGCCGGTGCTTAAACGTATTAAGATATCGATTGAAAGAGAGAAGCGATCTCGGTTTCAGGATTACACACCTAAAGGAACCTTGTCCTTTAGTGATGAAGACGCAAAAGAAATCATGCAACCCCATAACGATGCACTGGTAATATATGTACTTATGAATAAAACTCAAGTTAAGCGTGTGTTAATTAATCCAGGTAGTTCGGCCAACATTATTAGATCAAAGGCCGTAGAGCAGCTCGGTCTACAGGACCAGGTCGTGCCCGCAACCTTGGTTCTAAACAGATTCAATATGGCACGTGAAACTACAAAGGGCGAGATAATCATGCTAATAAATGTGGTCGGGACCATCCAAGAAACGAAGTTCCACGTAATCGAAGGCGACATGAGGTATAACACTATTTTTGGAAAGTCGTGGATCCACAATATAAGAGTTGTACCCCCGACCCCCCATCAAGTTCTGAAATTCCCAACATCGAAGGGAGTCAAAATGGTCTACGGAGAGCAACCGGCCGCAAAATAAATGTTTTCCATCGATGAAGTAATTCTGATATCTACACTATCATCGATAAAGGGATCAGATTCGAAGGGTGAACATGATACCAAATAGCAATCACAAATGTCAGCCTGGACCCAACTAGAGAATCAAAAGACTGACGAAGAGGATGACTATGGGATCCCTAGATCCTTTGTGGTCCCTGATGACACCGATGCTACCCAGTCAACGGTCGAAGAACTGGAGCAAATCATGCTAGTCGAACATCTGCCCGAGCAAAAGGTATATCTGGGCACGGGGTTAGATCCCGAGCTTAGGAAAAAGCTTATTCAATTTCTTATAGCTAACATGAATTATTTTGCTTGGTCTCATATATACATAACAGGGATCCCACTGGAGATAGCCACTCATAGACTAAGCTTAGATCCAAAATTCCATCCGACAAAGCAAAAAAGAAGGCCCCAGTCCGAGGTCAAACACGCCTTCATCAAGGACGAGGTAACCAAACTTCTTAAAATAGGATCCATTCGAGAGGTTAAATACCCCGAATGGCTAGCAAATGTGGTGGTGGTCCCTAAGAAAGGAAATAAACTTAGAATGTGTATAGATTATAAAGACTTGAACAAATCATGCCCTAAGGATTCCTTTCCTTTGCCTAGCATCGATCGTATGATCGATGCCATGGCTGGCCACGAGACTCTCTGTTTTCTCGATGCATACTCTGGGTACAACCAGATACAAATGAACCTGGAAGATCAAGAAAAGACCTCGTTTGTCACTAAGTACGGCACCTATTGTTATAACGTAATGCCATTCGGTCAAAAAAATGCTGGCAACTTATCAACGCCTAGTAAATCGAATGTTCGAAAATAAATAGGAAAATCAATGGAAGTTTATAGTTATGACATGTTAGTTAAGTCCTTGCAAGTAGAGGACCATTTAAAGCATTTGCATGACACTTTCGACGTGCTAAAGAAGTACAATATTAAGCTCAACCCCGAAAAATATACATTCGGGGTTGAGTCGGACAAGTTTCTTGGTTTCATGGTGAAAGTACAGGGGGGGGGGAATTGTGGTTTATTGAAAATTAGTCGACTAACAATGATTTTAGTTGACTAAACACAGTGCAGAATGAAAGATAATAGTAATTAAAAAGTAAATAACACACAACAATTTTATACTGGTTCGGTACCATTGTGGTACTTATATTCAGTTTCCCTTGGGTCACAAGGGTTTCCTTTAGATCTTGAAAGTTAATATACAGATGGTTTTGACTTGTTCTCCACTAACGAAAAATGGCAACAATGAATTCTGAATGTTTGACAGAACTCTCTTTTGTGTTCTAATTCTTCCTATCTTTTGAGACACTGATAAACTAAGGATTACAGTGTTTAGGCTAAGAAGTAAAGAGACTTAGAAGATAATGTGTGTAGTTGCGCAAGCCTTCCCTTTGATCTTAGCAGTCTTCTTATAGGAGAGAAAAAGGGTCGTTGAGTCTTGACCGAAATTAGAGGCACGAGATCATCAAAGGGATTTGACCCAAGGGGTGCCTCTTTGAATCCTTCTCTTGGGAGAGCCCAGATTCGATCGTGACTTTCCTTGTCACATGCTTGTATTGAGGAGTTATTCAAGCATTTGAGAGCTTATTTTTGGATACTGAATATTTGTTGGAGAAGGCTTCCTTGATTAGCAATCTAAACTCCTTAGATTGAGGTCTAATAAATGTGATGCAATAAAGTCCCTTTTTCTTGTCCATTAATTTAGCAATCATATCTTTGGATAGCATCTCATTCTTTTCTTTTTGCTTGTTTCGAATCCTGCAATCCTGCAAACTAACATAAGATGGAATTGTTATCATTGAAACTTTGAAACTTAACAATCTCCCCCTTTTTGATGATGACAATCAAGAGAGAGTAAACATAAAGTAAACATAAACTATGAGACTTCCCTTTTTTTTATATGTTCCTCCCCCTGAATAATTGAATAAATGTTGTCTCCTGATGTGCTGAGTTTCTCCTGCTGAGGTGTTTACTTCTCTACATATTTCTCCCCCTTTTTGATGATGAAAATCAAGAGAGAGTAAACATAAAGTAAACATAAACTATGAGACTTCCTTTTTTTATATGTTGCTCCCCTTGAATAATTGAATAAATGATGTCTCCTGATGTGCTGAGTTTTTCCTAGTGAGGTGTTTAGTTCTCTACATATTTCTCCCTCTTTGACATCAATGAAAAAGAAAATAAAAACACAGAGAACAAATAATATATGAAATAATATACATACTAGTTAGGGGATTAGAGCAGCAAAAGTAGTGCCTTCAACAGAGGCTTAGCTAGTTCAGACCCAAGCAAATGATTGTTTTAAAAAAAATCAACAAGCAAGCATAAAAAAAAGGCAAAAAAAATTGTTTGTAACACCATCACATAGAGTCTCATTAACTTCTTCCCATGAAGTACTTGAGAGTGTTGATCACTTTGGTGCAGAAGGAGTCATAAGAATTTTCAACATCTTTGACAAGTTTGTCCATCTTTTTACTCATGGAATTGAAAGCCCTGGTTCCTTGCCTCCGTGTGGCTCCCATATCCATCTTGAATTTAGCCATATCCGTACTTGTATCCTTGGTAACTTCCCTAATTTTGTCTACATGTTCCTTCATCTCAATTAGTAGCAGTTTTACCGCATCTAGATAATGCTGAATTTGCTAAAGATTTTGAGAGGCAGTCGACTGAGATGCTGGTTGTTCAGTTTGAACTTCAACTGGCACTAGAATACTTTCAACTTTGGCATGCTTTACCCATCGATCATCACCCAGGGTGTAACCCATCATCGAGAAGGCTGTCTTATCACAAGTGCTGGTAATGTGCTTGGATGTAAAAGGTGCCAAATCTACATTCATGACCTCGAGAACATGTGAGATGAGAAGACCGTAGGGCAAACATGCAGCAGAAGAAGATATATCCCTGATGCTTTCAAGCATGTATTGACTAATCCACACAAACCAATCAAGTCTTTTATTGTTAACCAGAAAGTAAAGGACAAAAACATATCTAGTGGACAAAGAGCTAAGGGACCCAGTTCTGGGGAGGAGAGTAGTAGCAATCATATAGGCCAAGACACGATGTTCAAACTTAAGATTCTTGGGACCAATGTCAGGATGATTATCAGACAAAAAGGTTTTTGCTTCATCAAAGGAAACTTCAAAGTCTTTGGGCCACGAATTTTGTACAAACACATCAAACCCACTAAACTTAGCAGAGAAAATCTTTTCAAATTGATAAGAGTCCAAAATAATTCTGGTGCCTAAAACCATAGATTCCAAGTCATATTTATCATTCACCAAAAGGTTTGCATAAAACATCCTTACTGGTTCTTCATAAACAGAGTTTCCAATGATATCAAATAGATAGGAAAGGTGCTGAAAATTGAAAATAGAAGTCACATCACAGTGAAAATTTTTCACGAGAGAGAGACTTACAGAGCGTCCATAAACCATATATTTTGACTTGTAGGACTCAAACCTTGCTTTTTCACTGGGACCATAGAAGATTAACTTATCCTCAGGACCAAATTCCATGTTCTCCACTTTACCTTTCTTGCATGCAACCTTTTTGGGAGTTTGCTCCATTGGTCTTTTGCTAGCCTTTTTCTGACTAATGAGAGGATTTTCAGACGATTCACTGCTTTTATTGTCTGTTCTGAGGAAATCTGAGTCAATAGACGACTCCACATCCACAAGTTCTTTAGTGTTAAGGGATTTTTGAAATATTCAACTGTGTCTGAAGTAGAAGAGGAGGGATTTCTTTTGGCCATGGTGTGAAGGATTGCTTTGAAGAGAATAAGGAGAGTACTGGAGAAGGAAGGGTTTTATGGATACTTTTGGGAGGAACGAAGGGACGTCTTGGTTAAAGGAAAGGGTAGGTTCAGAAGTAAGTGATGCTTATGAAGTGACTGATCGGCGGTACTGAGAAGAGGTAATAATTACACTTACACACAAAATTAATAAAGCCACACATAATTAAGGAAATAAAATATATTAGAACAAGGTAAAATATTTAAAAGTATGGTAAAATATTTGATTTACAAATTTGGCACAATGCCAATTATTTTTCTGAGTAGATAAAATCTTTCTTCCAAAGCCTTTCCAGGTCATCTTGAAAAAGGATGGATAAACTTTATAAGTGATTTTGTAAAAATATCAGCAAGTTGAGAATCAGTACTAATAAATTTTAAAACAATGTCACCTTTTACAACATGATCACGGATAAAATGATGTTTAATTTCTATATGCTTTGCTCTAGAATGATGCACAAATTTTTTTGATAAAAAGATAGCACTGGTATTATCACAGAATATAGGAGTAGATGTAAGAGATAAATCATAGTCAAGAAGTTTATGCATAATCCATAGAACTTGTGTGCAACAGCTTCCAACGGCTAAGTATTATGCCTCAGTTGTGGATAGTGCAACACAATTTTATTTCTTGCTATGCCAAGATACTAAGGCATTTCCTAGCAATTGACATGTCCCACTAATGCTCTTTCTATCAATCTTGTCACCTGCAAAATCTGCATCTGAAAAGACTTTTAGAGAAAAATTGTTAGAACGATCATACCATAATCCTAGCTCAGAGGTACCAATTAAGTATCTAATAATCCGTTTAACAATAGAAAGATGGGATTCCTTAGGAGCTGACTGAAATCTTGCACATTTGCACACACCAAACATAATATCCAGTTGACTAGCAGTTTGATATAATAGAGATCTAATCATTCCTCTATAAATGGTTTCATCAACCTTTTTTCTATTGCTTTCTTCATCGAGCATTGTAGTTGGAATCATTGGAGTGCCAATTGACTTAGTATTTTCCATGCCAAACTTTTTGAAAAGCTCCTTAGTGTACTTGGTTTGGCTAATGAAAATCCCCTTAGTAGATTGCTTGATTCGAAGACCAAGAAAGAAAGTCAGTTCTCCCATCATACTCATCTCAAATTCTCCTTTCATGGAAAGAGCAAATTCTTCACAAAGAACAGAGTTAGGGATGCCAAAAATAATATCATCTATATATATTTGAGTCATAAGATTACCTGAACTGGAGTGCTTAATAAAAAGAGTTGTATCGATATTACCTCTTTTAAACCCTTGATTTAGAAGAAAAGAACTTAACCTTTCATACCATGCACGAGGGGATTTTTTGAGACCGTACAAAGCTTTAGTCAACTTGTATACATGATTAGGAAAGGTGATGTTTGCAAATCCGGGTGGTTTCTTCACATATACTTCTTAAGAGATGTAGCCATTTAGGAACACACTTTTAACATTCATTTGAAATAGCTTGAATCCTTTGTGAGCATCGAAAGCAAGTAATATTCGTATGGATTCAAATCTTGCTACAGGCGCAAAGGTTTCATTGTAGTCAATTCCTTCTTTTTGAGAGTAAACATGAGAAACCAGCCTTGCTTTATTTCGAACCACTTGACCTGATTCATTCAATTTGTTTCTGAAAATCCACTTAGTTCCAATGATAGAGGAGTTTGGAGGTCTTGGAACCAATTCCCATACTTTATTTCTTTCAAATTGATATAGTTCCTCTTTCATAGAACTTATCCAGTGAGTATCTTTGAGAGCTTCATCCACTTTCTTTGGCTCAAATTGAGAAATAAGAGCTATATGAGATTTGTTCTTTTGTGACCTTCTCATAGTGATTCCTTCATGTGGATCTCCTATAATGAATTTGTGAGGATATCCCGTTTCACTTTTCCATTCATTTGGAGTGTTTGAGGGAGGTTCTCTTTCTTCAATAGTCAACTAATCTACTTGAGGTAGTTCGAGATCTTCTGTGGGTACTTCAGCTGGTTGAGCCTGTTGAACAACTCACTCATTTTGATGATCCTTTCCTACAATAACAGATTTAGGGACACAAGAAATTTCCTCATCTTTAGGAATTTGTTCATTCCTTGGGCGAGGGTTAGTATCAACAAAAACAACATGAATAAATTCTTCAATGCACAAAGTTATTTTATTGTAGACTCTTTATGCTCTACTTGAAGGAGAGTGACCAAGAAATATACCTTCATCACTCTTAGGATCAAACTTACCCAGATTGTCCTTTCCATTGTTGTGGATAAAACATTTACATCCAAAAGGGTAAAAATAGCTGATATTTGGTTTCTTACCATTCCATAGCTCATAAGGAGTCTTTTTGAGAATTGGTCGAATCAGACACATGTTGATGATGTGGCATGCTGTACTCACAATTTCTGCCCAGAAATGATGAGGTAGAGAGTTTTTCACAATCATGGTTCTTGCCATGTCCTATAAAGTTCTATTTTTACGCTCTACTACTCCATTTTGCTGCGGTGATCTTGGTGAAGAGAAGTTGTGAGAGATTCCTTGATTGTTGCAAAAATTTTCAGAAGCTCTGCTTTTAAATTCTCCTCCATGATCACTCCTGATAGTAGAGATGTAGTATCCTTTTTCTCGTTGAACCTTCTTACAGAAAACTTCAAAACTCTTAAAAGCATCATCTTTGTGACTTAGAAACATAACCCAGGTAAATCTAGAGAAATCATCTACAATGACAAATGCATATTTCCTACCACCTATGCTAGCAGTTCTAGTAGGACCAAATAAATCCATATGCAATAATTGAAGAGGTTTGGAGGTGAAAACAATGTTTTTAACTTTGAAAGAAGAACGAGTTTGTTTTCCTAGTTGACATGCATCACAAATATGATCTTTTAAAAAATCTAGTTTTGGAAGTCCAATTACAAGATCATGTTTAAAAAGTTTTTGAACAGTATACATGCTGGCATGACCAAGTTTTCTATGCCAAACCCAGGGATCATCAATCATGGAAGTAAGACAAATTTGATCCCCAAGATTTTCTAAGTTACTGATAGTATAGACATTTCTGTCTCTGTTACCTGAAAGAATGATTTTACCTAATTCATATTCTCTAAACCAACCATGTTTCTTAAAATGAACCTCATAGTCGTTGTCACATAGTTGACTAATGCTGAGAAGATTATAGCCAAGTTCATCAACCATGTAGACTTCATCTATATCACATGTTGAGCTTAGAGAAACTTTTCCAACACCAATTACATTTCCTTCGGATTTGTCTCCAAAAGTAATTGTTCCTCCATCTAGTTTGGTGACTGATTTGAACAATTATTTGTCACCAGTCATATGTCTGGAACACGCACTGTCGAGATACCATTTTCCTTTCGATTCTTCTTGCGGTGTTCCTGCAAAATAAAATTACTTGTTTTTAGGTAGCCAAGCTTGCTTGGGTCCTAAAAGGTTAGAATGCTGAGTGTTAGTTTGATTTGAAGATTTAGGTCTCCAAACCCATCTCCGGTTATCTTTGAACCTGTAACGATTTGAGGTATGACCTCGTTTACCACAATAAAAACATGATGGACTGTTAGAGTTACCAGAGCCTCTTTCTGCTCTAATTTTGTTCATGCATTGGTTAGTACTATGGCCGTTTTTACCACAAAAGGAATAGGCAGGAATTTTCTGTTTGTGATGAACAGTCTGATTTGATTTGACTGAGCTGTGACTCGTGGATTTTTGCAATCCATTCAATTGAAGTTGAAGTTCATTTACTTCATCTTGTAGGATATCACGCTCAATCTCACATACTTCTAGTTTCAAGGCCCAGTCTTTCTTTTCTCTCTTGATTCTTCTAAGTTCATTCACGACTCTTTCTATATCTGCAAGAGCAATATCAACAAATTCTTAGAGTTCATAACAATTAGAGCATAAGATAGTACGTACCTCACTAGTTCCTTTGTCCGCCATGAGACCAAGTTCTCTTGAGTCGTCTTCCTCATCATTGTTGTCTGCCATTAGTCCAAGTTCTCCTGAATATTCATTTTCATTCATAGCCATGAAATATATGTTAGCAATTTCCTCATGATCAGACTCTTCTTCATCACTCCATGCTCCGAAGGATTTCTTCTTTTGCATGTTTGTGCCGAGTTTATTTTTTAGTTCAGGACAATCAGCTTGAATGTGACCAAACTTTCCACATTTGTAGCACCTTCCATCATTTTTATTAGCTTCATTTCTTATCCTTCCTTTCCTGAAGTTAGGCTTCTCTCTTCTGCTATTCCTGTTTTTCCTCATCATGCTTGTTACAACTTGAGAGAGCATGGCAATGTTTTCGTCTTGTTCTCCTCCTTCTTCTTCCTCTTCATTTTCTGGTTCAACCACAGTTGCCTTAAAAGCAACAATTTTCTTCTTCTCTTGAATTTTTCTATCCAAGTGATTTTTCTCAAAAGCAATTAGATCACCTCTGAGTTCATCGTAGGAAATTTTGTCTAGATCTTGACATTCCAAGGCGATAACTTTTGGCTGCCAAATGGCGGGTAAGCTCCTGAGAATCTTTCTAACATGTTCACCACTCTTGATAGGTTTACCAAAATATTTCAGATCTCCAAGAATTTTGCTAAATCTGGAGAACATGTCTTCCACTGATTCTCCATCCTTCATTTGGAATAACTCGTAGTCCCAAACCAGAAGATTTATCCTAGTTTCTTTCACTTTGTTGGTTCCTTCGTAAGTAACCTCCAGTTTGTCCCACATTTCTTTGGCCGTTTCACAACTTGATATCTTTTCATACTCTTCTCCACTGATAGCATTGTACAATAGATTTTTTGCTTTGGTATTTTACAGTTATGGTAGCAGCTTGTTCATCAGTGTAATCATCCAAGTCCAGAGGATCAGTTGATACGATGACTTGACCATTTGCATCCTTCTTAGGAGGGATTGAAAGATTTTCCTTTTTGATCACACGCCAAACTTTGATGTCATATGACATTGTGTAAGTTTCCATGCGTACTTTCCAGTGAGAAAAGTGCTGACCATTGAAATAAGGAGGTCANTTTTCCTTGGGTCACAAGGGTTCCCTTTAGATCTTGAAAGTATTACAATACAGATGGTTTTGACCTGTTCTCCACCAACGAAAAATAGCAACAGTGAATTCTGAATGTTTGACACAACTCTCTTTTGTGTTCTAATTATTCCTATCTTTTGAGACACTGATAAACTAAGGATTACAGTGTTTAGGCTAAGAAGTAGAGAGACTTATAAGATAATGTGTGTAGTTGTGCAAGCCTTCCATTTGATCTTAGCAGTCTTCTTATAGGAGAGAAAAAGGGTCGTTGAGTCTTGACCGAAATTAGAGGCACGAGATCATCAAAGGGATTTGACCCAAGGGGTGCATCTTCGAATCCTGCTCTTAGGAGAGCCCAAATTCGATCGTGACTTTCCTTGTCACATGCTTATATTGAGGAGTTATTCAAGCCTTGATTGAGAGCTTATTTTTGGATACAGAATATTTGCTGTTGGAGGCTTCCTTGATTAGCAATCTGAACTCCTTAGATTGAGGTCTAATAAATGTGCTGCAATGAAGTCCCTTTTTCTTGTCCATTAATTTAGTAATCATATATTTGGATAGCATCTCATTCTTTCCTTTTTGCTTGTTTCGAATCCTGCAATCCTGCAAACTAACATAAGATGGAATTATCATCATTGAAACTTTGAAACTTAACACATGGTATCCAACCAAGGAATCGAAATCAACCCTGATAAAATCAAAGATATTGAGGACATCACGGTAGTGGATAATGTGAAGGTCATGCAAAGGCTAACAGGGAGAATAGCCGCCTTGGGACGATTCATTTCGAGATCCTTAGATAGGAGCCACCGATATTTCTCACTGTTTAAGAAGAAAAACAACTTTGTATGGACTCCGGAATGCCAACACGCTTTGGAAAAACTAAAGCAGTATTTATTGAGCCTGCCTCTGCTTCATACCCCGAAAGTGGACGAACAACTTTACTTGTATTTAAGCTGTCTCGGAGATAGCGGTAAGTGGAGTCCTGGTTCGAGAAGAACGAGGTACGCAATTCCCTATTTATTATGTCAGTCGGACCTTAGGCAAGGCCGAAACTAGATATCCACACTTAAAAAAATTAGCGCTTGCTTTAATAAGCGCCTCTAGGAAATTAAAACCATATTTCCAATCTCACCCGATACATGTTGTAACAAATTATCCTCTTCGAAACATTTTGTGCAAACTCGAGCTTTTGGGTCGATTGGCCAAATGGGCTATAGAAATCGGCGGGTACGATATTGAGTATCGGCCCCGAACCGCTATCAAGTCTCAAATCTTGGCAGACTTCGTGGCTAACTTTTCACCAACCCTCGTGCCCGAGATTGAAAGAGAGCTACTTATAAAATCAGGAACCTCTTCGGGAGTCTGGACCCTTTTTACGGACGGTGCCTCGAACGCGAAGGGGTCCGGATTAGACATTGTACTAAAATCACACAGAGGTAATGTAATTAGACAGTCTATCAGAACTACAAAATTGACTAACAATGAGGCCGAGTATGAGTCCATGATTGCAGGTCTCGAACTAGCTAGAAGCTTGGTAGCAGAGATCATAGAAGTTAAGTGTGATTCTCTCCTCGTGGTAAACCAAGTTAACGGGACTTTTGAAGTCCCAGAAAATCAAATACAAAGGTACTTGGATAAATTACAGGTGACTTTATATCAATTTAAAGAATGGACTTTGCAACATGTACTCCGAGAACAGAACAGAGAGGCCGACACTCTTGCGAACTTAGGTTCATCGGTCGAAGATGACGAACTCAACTCGGGGACTATCGTACAACTCATAAAATTGGTGATCGAAGAAGGTCACGCCGAGATAAATTCCACAAGTCTAACCTGGGATTGGAGAAACAAATATATAGAGTACTTCAAGAACGGGAAGCTTCCATCAGATTCAAAGGAATCGAGAGCTTTGTGCTCAAAGGCAGCATGATTTACCCTATCCGAAGACGGAACGCTATTTAGATGGACTTTTGATGGACCATTGGCAATATGTCTGGGACCAAGAGATACCGATTACATACTACGGGAAATTCACGAGGGCACTTATGGAAACCATTCTGGTGCCGATTCGCTGGTCCTCAAAGCGATCAGAGCAGGGTATTACTGGATCGATATGAGCAAAGATGCGAAGGAGTTCGTTCGAAAATGTGACAAATGCCAAAGACATGCGCCCATGATTCATCAACCCGAGGAGCTACTCCATTCGGTCCTATCTCCATGTCCTTTCATGAAATGGGGGATGGACATCGTCGTCCCCCTCCCATCGGCCCCAGGTAAAGCTCGATTTATTTTGTTTATGACTGATTATTTTTCTAAATGGGTTGAAGCACATGGTTTCGAGAAAGTCAGAGAAAAAAAGTGATAGACTTCGTTTGGGACCACATCATATGTTGATAGGGGTGCCAGCCAAGATTGTATGTGATAATGGAAAATAATTCATCGACAGCAAAGTAACTAAATTTCTCGAGGATCACAAGATCAAAAGGATCCTATCAACACCGTACCATCCCAGCGGAAACGGACAAGCCGAATCGACCAACAAAACCATCATCCAAAATCTTAAGAAGAGATTGACCGACGCCAAAGGAAAATGGAGAGAAATACTGCCCGAGGTCCTATGGGCACATCGCACAACATTGAAATCCAGTATCGGAGCAACGCCATTGTCGTTGGTCCTTGGCGCCGAAGCTTTGGTTCCGGAGAACCTAATATCAAGTTTCGATATGCAACAAAGGAGTCGATTAACGAAACCATGAACACGAGCCTAGAATTATTGGACAAAAGATGAGAGTCCGCTCTCGTCCGATTGGCTGCCCAAAAATAGCGAATCAAAAGATACTACAATCGAAGAACCAATTTTTGATATTTTAAAATCGGAGACTTAGTACTAAGGAAAGTCACTCTCAACACCCGAAATCCGAATGAAGGAAAACTGGGTCCGAACTAGGAAGGACCATATCAGGTCCTCGAAATCGTCGAAAAGGGGTCCTACAAGCTCGGCATGATAAACGACAAACAACTACCGAGCAATTGGAACGTTTCACACCTAAAACGATATTACTGCTAAGGTACGACCCTCCCATGTTCATTTATATTTTGAAATTAACCCTTGCAGGTGCTCGACCAGAAACAAGGATGGATTATTCAACCCGAAGCCTTTAGGTATGAAAGCACGTGTTGTACTATTTTTCCCTTAGACCGGTTTTATCCCAAATGGGTTTTTCGACAAGGTTTTTAATGAGGCAACCATTGATCGTGCTAACTAAGAACATTTCAACAGTATCCGAGGCCTCTTTACAATCAACCTCGAATACTGGGGGCATTACCCTCGAATATATTAAGTTCGATGCAAGAAAGTTACTTCATGGCAATAGGGTTTAGATAGGAAAAATAGTAAGGGCCAAATGGTCAAAACGAACCATGCCCGTATAGTTTGCTCGAGCCCTGGCACAAAACATGAACACATGTATAATGACTTGTAAAGAGAAATTTCTTCTTTACCGATATCTCATATATCGAAAAGATTCTTCTATTTTATGATCTATTATGCAAACAGGCTCAAAGGCCGACCATGACCGGAGTTTGAAAAATTACTCCATAAATCGGGGACTGCCAACCGAAAAATCAACGAGATTAAGCTCCACGTAAGCCTAAGGGCTACATTACTTCGAGTTCGAGCAAACACTCACTCGACCATCGAGCCCAAGGGCTGCCATTAATTCGAGTTCGAGAAATCATTCTCACTCGACTACAAAGCCCAAGGGCTACCTTATGTCGAGTTCGAGCGAGTCCTCACTCGACCACTAAGCCTAAGGGCTATTCTTATTTTTAGTTTGAGCAAACACTCACTCGACTATAAAGCCTAAGGGATACCCTAACTCGAGTTGGAGCAACCATTCTCACTCGGGGACTATCTATTGAGCTCAAGGGCTGCCATTAATTCGAGTTCGAGAAATCATTCTCACTCGACTGAAAAGCCTAAGGGCTACCTTAATTTGAGTTCGAGAAATAATTCTCACTCGACTACAAAGCCTAAGGGCTACCATATTTCGAGTTCGAGAAAGTCCTCACTCGACCACTAAGCCTAAGGGCTATTCTTATTTCGAGTTCGAGCAAACACTCACTCGACTATAAAGCCTAAGAGATACCCTAACTTGAGTTTGAGCAACCATTCTCACTCAGGGACTATCTATCGAGCCCAAGGACTTCCATTAATTCTAGTTCGAGAAATCATTCTCAATCGACTACAAAGCCTAAGGGCTACAATATTTCGAGTTCGAGCAAGTCCTCACTCGATCACTAAGCCTAAGGGCTATTCTTATTTTGAGTTCGAGAAAACACTCACTCGATTATAAAGCCTAAGGGCTACCCTAACTCGAGTTCGAGCAATCACTCTCACTCGGCGACTATCTATCGAGCCCAAGGGCTGCCATTAATTCGAGTTCGAAAAATCATTCTCACTCGACTGAAGAGCCTAAGGGCTACCTTAATTCGAGTTTGAGAAATCATTCTCGCTTGACTACAAAGCCTAAAGGCTACCATATTTCGAGTTCGAGCAAGTACTCACTCGACCACTAAGCCTAAGGGCTACTCTTATTTCAAGTTCGATCAAATCCTCACTCGACTATAAAGCTTAAGGGATACCCTAACTCGAGTTCGAGAAACCATTCTCACTCGAGGACTATCTATTGAGCCCAAGGATTGCCATTAATTCGAGTTCAAGAAATCATTCTCACTCTACTACAAAGCCCAAGGGCTACCTTATTTCGAGTTCGAGCAAGTCCTCACTCGGCCACTAAGCCTAAGGGATATTCTTATTCTGAGATCGAGTAAAAACTCACTCATAAAGCCTAAAGGGCTACATTACTCCAAGTTCGAGCAAGTACTCACTCGACTAGTCTGATTTCGATCAAATTACCTAAAGCCTCGAACTTATGAATAAAATTTTCATAAGACATGAATGAAATAAAATTTTCACAAGGCACAAAATGAAATAAAGGCAAGACGGAAAAGAAAGGGATCTTTATATATATGAAGATATTTACATGGTCCGATCAAGACCCTACACAAAAGATCAAAAATGAAAAATCCTAAGGTTCCTGATTTTCTCCGGGGGTAGTTTCTTCTCCATCAAGGTCCTCCCCGCTCTTGGACCCGCTTTTGCTCCTGTCATCATCATCTTCATCATCGGAGGCCAGCGCTGCAACTTTGGTTTCACACTCTTTAGCCTTTATTATCTCGTCGGCGAGATCGAAACCTCGAGCGTGGATCTCCTCGAGGGTTTCCCTCCTAGTTAGGGTGGATCTCCTCGAGGGTTTCCCACCGTTGGCTCATTATGGTGGGAGGTATCTTCAATCCTCGATAACTCGGGGACTTCGCCCGAGTTTCTTCCCGAGACCCCCTCATCTCGAGACGGAATCTCTGCAGACTTCATCGATTCAATGGCTTTTTGGGCCTCGGTGCTCATTCCTACCGGGCTACCAGCCCGGAGTCGTCTTCTTCCTCTCCTTCGTCTTCATCCCTTAGACGCTGAACAAAGTCTTCGGTTAGGAGGATGATATTCTTTCTCGGCTTACGAGCTGCCCTCTTCTTAGGTTCAGGATCCTCTGGGGTTGAGATTATTTTCCTCTTTCTGTCCTTCACCGGTTTCGGTGCCGGGATTGAAGTCTCCCCCTCAGCAGATAAGGGCCTCATGACAATATCTTTGCCAAGGCATGTATGAAAGGAAATTAAGTAAGAAATGCTTCAAACAAAATCGTCAAAGACGCAAAAACGGGGCTTACCATGAGTTTTAGCCTCCCATCGGCCCTTTAATAGATCGCGCCATGAGAGCTCGACATACGTAGAGGTCGAAGCAAGGTCCTGAACCCAGCTCTTAAGGTTAGGAATTGTACCGGGCATCCAAGCGATCGCTACATCACGGAAAAGGATATCGATGAGAAGAAGCAAAGGAGCAAAACAATTAATAGGAACTAACTAGGGATTATACTTACGCTTCATGTTCCATTGCTCGGGAAAAGGCATCTTCTCGACTGGGATTAGGTCGGAAGTCCTCACTCGAACGAACCGACCCATCCAGCCTTGGTCCTAGTCCTCGTCTATGCTCAAGAACAACACTTTGGTAGCCCGACATAGGAGTTTTATTAACCCACCTCGATAGAGGCGGGGGATGTACAATTTGATGAGGTGGTTGAGGGTGAAAGGCATCCCCTCGACTTTGTTCACGAAGAAGCGGATCAGAATACCGATTCGCCAAAAAGAAGGATGGATTTGGCCTAGGGTTATTTGGTATTGGCGGCAAAAATCGATGACAACGGGGTCGAGGGGGCCCAACGTGAAAGGATAAGTGTAAATACTTAAAAACTCTTTCACATGAGTAGTAATATCTTTTTCGGGAGCCGGGATTATCACTTCTTTGTTCTCCCAGTTGCAATCTTTCCTTACCTGTTTAAGGTATCCCCAAGTTATCGAGTACATATACCTCGATACTGGCTCGCATCGACCGGGAACCGACGAGGCTTTGTCGGTCTTAAAATCAGAAGTGAGAACGTACCCCTGGGGAACGCACTACTCAGGTCGTGGCTCCACCGGTGTTTTATCGCCAGCCGGCCGCGATGAAGAAGCGCTTTCTTTTTTAGGAACAGTTTTTGACGTTTTCTCCATTTTAGATTTGAAGATTAAAAATAGAAGGAGATGATAAGATTTGGTGTTTTAAGAAGAGGTTAGTAGTGAAAATCGCAGATTTGCAAATGAAAAACTCAGAAGATGCAAAAAAGAACTTAGTAAATTTGGAGATTGGAAGTTTAAAAAGTAAAAAATGGTGAAGAGAGGAGCTATTTATAGAGTTGGCGATAACGGTTCAATATCAGTAGTGGACGACCATCGTCTGATGCACATTTAATGCCTTGGTAACTGAATCGACAGGACATTTATCACGTACGTCATGGTCGGGCTCGATGCAGACGTTAGTGTGTATCTAGTCATGTCGTTGAAAAATCATATCGTTTCTCGCCACATTATTTCTGAGAAACGAGGGGACTATTTGTATACGGTCAAATACGAGTTTGCCCTTCATATAATTAGTCGAGATTGGAACGTGATGAACCGATGGTCGTCATTGTAACGACGAGATCAGAATTAAAGCCCGGTTATCGAGCTCAAGATACCGAGCTCGATTCAATATCGAGCTCGAGTCAATATCGAGCTCGAGCCAATATCGAGCTATGGCATGACGCAGTATTATCGAACTCAAGAGTCAGAGACCGGCCAATACCGAGCTCAAGTCAATATTGAGCTCGAGTCAATATCGAGACCGGCCAAGATCGAGCTAAGAGACAAAGAGCCGTTATAGCCGCACCAAAGAGAGAATCTCGGCGGAAATTAAGGAAAAGCTAATTAATTAATCTATCATGAGATCTCCACTATGTATTTTTTAATTATATCCAAAGCATGATTTTTCCACTATATGAAGGGCAGATATCATTTTTGTAACGGGCATTCAACATCTATAGAAGAAAACATTGATACACTCACATTCTAAAGATTATTACATTGATATACAATTGAGATTATCCTTTTTTGAGCTTGGACATTGATTCATCTTGTTTGTTTATAAATCATTCTCTACTCAATTTGGTTTTTTATTTCATTCTTTTATACAGTCAATATCTGATACATATTTCAACCTACTTTCCCGATTTGTACCAAGTTATACCATGTATCTTTAGAACTACGTATAAATTCAACTCTATCCGTTTTTCGAGTAAACAATTATGAACAAGCGTAAATATACTCCAGTATGAGCATGTATAGGCACTCTGATAGAGTGGCCGGAAGATTTTGTTCATTCCACTTTCATGAATTCGATAAAGATTTATATCAAGCGCATTTATCAGAGTACGCTAGGAATGATGAAAAGTACAAAGATATATGAAACACAAGGAAGGTCTGTAGCTGCCGTTGTTGTCACTTTCAACTATGGGACAATATACATGAAGTAGATGGAGGAAACGTATCAACCAGATCGTATGTGGACACCAATGGCGACTATCAAGATGGTATATATACAGAAGTAAAAGATGGCATGAACTAAGATGGCAATTCCGCTGGTGTACATGTTCCCAAACTCGATGACTCTCGTTCTTGCTGGCAGCTGGCATAGGAGTCCGGGTGACAATAAGATGAACATCACCACCGCCACCACTACTGGTCCCCAATCTACTACCATTTCTATTTTCTATCTTCGTCGCACTCTATTTTCTCTCCTAGAGTAGTTAGTAGACACAGAAAAATAAAGGAAACCTTAGTTTTCTCTCTGGTATATATAGTAGTATTTAGTTCTGGTGTTTGCAAATGAGTAGCAGGAGATTTAAGGCAAATGTAGTGATTTTGCTTAGTGAAGAAGGAGAAAGGGTACTGAACTTGAGGGTCAAAAGCAGGCAGTGTGACGTATTGTGTGGTAGTGGAGATTTTGCTTTATGGAAGTTGACAGAAACTACTGACTTTGTGTATATATTTTTCAATAATTGCATAATTCAAGTTTCTTTTTGCCTTTACTTTAAACATTTTTATTTTCATCAAAGTAGCATACTTTATAAGTATTAAGGGAAAAAAAGCAGGTGGTGTGAGTGGAAAGGCAGATAATGCCGAAGGTTGATAGGTTTTTGAATGCTTTGTTTTTGGCTTACATATTCAAGATGAGCTAACAATGCACATTCATAAAAGGCTTTGAGGATCACATCTGGTAAGAAAGTAAATAATCAAAGCTGCGGATAAGGCAAACCTACTTGAATGATGCAATTGCTTTGCTTTCTATTTGGTAAAGTCCTGGCCCTCTTTCACATTAATTTGTTGTTCGTCTAATTCTCTTTTGATCATGCACAAAGGTAAAGAGCTAGTAGGGACACCAAATATGCAAATGTAATTGTCAAATTCATCCTACCTGGAGTATCCCTCGCCCAAAGTTCACTTATCTACTGCTGAAGAGACTGAAACCTCCTCACATTGCTCATCAGACAGTAGACAGACCGATTAACATGGCTGATTGGGGACCGGTGTTAATAGCAGTGATGTTGTTTGTGCTGTTGACTCCTGGACTTCTGTTCCAACTTCCAGGAAGCAGCAGGTCAATAGAGTTTGCCAATTTCCAGACAAGTGCAATCTCCATCTTCATCCATACTCTTCTCTACTTTGCATTAATTACTATGTTCCTTATCGCCATTGGAGTCCACATTTACTTCGCCTAATATATTCCATCAACAGATCCATCTTCTCCTAAAGGCAAGTTTCACTTCATTTGTTAGTTATATCCAGATTTGTGAGTAACTCCTATGATTTATTACATCACAAATAATAAGCATGACAAAGCATAAGAGGTACTGATCATCAAGCCAAACACATGAGGAACTTATTACAAAATCATCAGGTCAGCATTCGCAAGAGTAAAGATGTAGTGAAGTTTACTTGGCATGTTTCAGACTCTGTATCTTGCAGCTAGAGTTCTCAGCTGCACCTATGCAAACAGGCAGCAAGCTGTAATCTTTTACTAGTTTTTCCATTTCCCATACAGAATTAAAGCAATTGCAATAAGTCATTCTTCCACTATAACTACAACATATGAAAATAACATCCAATAAAGATGCCACGTTGCCACTATTCATACTGTGTTAAGGAAATTTTGTAACAGTAATACATCAAACTACAATACCAAATCTGCTGTCATGTGATGATGTTTCTCAATAACCAGCTCAATAAATCTGACTCAACCACTATGACTACTATATGAGTCTGCTAGAGTAGTGTAACTTTTTACTAGGAATCACTTCAGTCTTAAATTTGCTACAGAAGCAAGTGCCATTACTGAGAATATATATACCATATTGTATTAAGAATAAAGGGAGTAGTTGGTCCATCTGTGTTAGAATGTTGTAACTTCTAACAAGTAAACTACTTACTACAGTACAGTAGTAACCAATTCCATTAAATGATAAATTCAAATGAATCCACAAATGTATTAACCCCTCTTTTGGAGATGAGTAAAATGCTTTCTTTTGCTCAAAAAAATAATGAATCGTCATCGACAACTCTGGGACTATTGACATTTTGTCATACGAAATTTTGGGCTTAACTATGTGGTGATTGGCAATGAAGCCCCGATAATATCAAACAACAATCTTAGGGATGCTATAATTTTGAACTAAAATTTTTAACTTCGGGCTAATTCAGAATATCTTTGAAAAACTGAAATTCAGGACTCATTGGCTAATTCCTAAATAGCAACCCTTCAGAGTGGCTAGCTGGTGTCATTTCCACAGCGGTATCACTAGGGTAAAAATAGCACGGGCTAGCCAGTTTTCAGACTGGTAATTCAAAAATAGCCACCGTTTGCAAAGTCATTGAAAGATAGCCACTATTTTGCTGCAACACGGACCGATTCAGCATAATATACTGGAGATTGATGCACCTGTATATGAACTTCCAGCATATTATGTTGGAACTGCAACACGCGGAAAGTTCCAGCATAATATAGTGGAGATTGTAGCACCTGTGCATGAACTTCCAGCATATTATGCTGGACCGGTATATTATACTGGAACTCCAGCATATTATGTTGGAATATTTTGTACATTATACTGGAACTCCAGTATCATTCAAATTTATCTTTACATGAAAATTGGCTAAATTTCGATTACTTTTGAAACTGTGGCTATTTTTCAATTACCACTTGTAAATCTGGCTATTTTTGAATTTTATGCGGGCTTCACCTTTTCAGTGGGTCTGGGCCTAAATTACCCGGGCCCGCCAAAATCCCTCTTAACACTCCAATTCAGCGATTTGACAAATTTCTTCTCCAAGTACCATTCCTCCTGTCCTCCACTGCCAAAAAACCTATAGATCGAATTCATCTGCATCATCAATCAATCATATTCCCGTGATTAAGAGCTCTGAGACTGAAATACCCATCTTAAAAATGGCGTTAACGAACTTTATACTAACGGTGGTCGGAGTGAGCGCGGCGATATTATTGCTGAGGAGCGATGTCAAACAGTCTGCTTCCATCTTCAGGCGTAACGTCCGTCAAATTCGCCATTGGCTCGAGGAAGAGTCTTCTTCCGCCGCCAAGTATGCCCTTACACTTCCCTTTTCCCTTCAATATTTTTTGCTTATCGAAAGTGCTGTGCTATTATTCTGATTGATTGATAAAAACGAGACCTTTATACAATGGAATTGCAAAGAATCACTTTACATTCCCGTAACTAACCTGTAAACAAATGTTCTTCCAAATTGAATCAACCACTAACTAACTGCTTTAACTAACTAATGCTGACGTGGCATCTTCGAGCTTCTTCTCCAGCTGCTATCTTTTATTACTCCTCGATCCTTCTCTTGCAAATTCCACTGCAGCTATACTGAGCTGGAATTGAGCTCAACTTAGCTACATTGAGCTGCTTCAGTAACTCCTCCTGGCTCCTGCATCATTATCGCTGAAACACAACGTAATATACTGGTAGCTTGAAAAATGAAAACAGTTATTACGAAACTACTTTGCAAATTTGTGTTTTTGGAGATGTACAAATAAAGTATCCATGTAATGGACGGATTGAAGTTGTGTCAATGAAGCACGTAAATAATGCCAAAAATCTATGACCACAGCTTATTCGATGTATGTAACACACTATTCCTACATGTTATGTCTCTTAATCTGTATCGTTCTTTTTTTTTTTTTCTTTTGTTCCTCGGCAATAGCTTTTGGGATTTTTAATAGGTTATCTAGATGCCAGCGGTATTGAATGTTCTTGGTGATTTCAAAAGCAACAGTTTGCTTCTGAGGTTTATTTTGTTTCTCGCTTGGTAAAGTCTAAAGAGTGATATAAAAATTAGAGTTCTAGGCAAGTCAAGTCAAGTAAACTTCAGGTGGTTTTTCTTTTGGGCAGTCCCTTATAGTTTTTGTTATCGAGATATCTTCTCTTTTTTCATTGTCCCCAAGGATGTTTTGGGGAATCTGCTCCTGTGCTGCAAAGACTGGCAGTCTGGCATTGCAGTTTCAGCTGAGGCTCATGCTTTTATAGTCAATTCTTTAATATGTAATTTATGATGAATAATATTTGAAGTTTATCATTTAATTGTAGGTTTAGGATCTTTAGCTTTGGCTTTATCAAAAAAAAAAAAGATAGTTAGCTTTGTTTCCTTTCCCTTCTCGTTCCTTAGTTTTCTCTGAACAAGGGACATCTATCCACGTTAGATTTTAAATTGGTTTCTCATTGTAGCTTCTTCCGTTAGCTTTTTGATTTTGAAATCCTGTAGCTGTAGTGTATATATCGTTGTCATGATGTTATGAAATTCCACTGATGTTTCTATAGGGAATTGGAGAAGGCAAAACCAAAGGAGATACCTCACAAAGACATTCCTAAGGAGGATAAGCATTAGACGTATCTCAGGAATCTTTATAATGAAATAGAGAGGGAAGAACCAAAGGAGATACTTAGAAGACATTCACTAGCAGGACAAGAATGAGACATGCCTCAGGAATCTTGATAGTTTCATAATTTGCATTTTCTCACCTGTGCTTCACCTTCTATCTGTGTAAAATTCTTCACAGTTTGATTTCTGATAGTGGATTACTATTCTGTTTTCTTAGCTACTCAACTGCTTGGTACATGTGCCCCTATGAATATCCATATGTTCACTTAATTTTACTGCTATTTGTTGGAAGTCATCGTTTAACAGAGCTTGCTGGACTGCTAGACTGCTAGACTGCTTAGGATTTTGATGTAATCAAGTCCAGCCTTATCTTTGTACTGTCACAGTATCAGCTTGATACTGTTTCCAATAAAACCTCACCTTATAAAAAAAATATATCCTTGGCGTAAGCTCATGAAATTTGGATAAATAGGCAGGATATGGTCGTTAAATGCACTTATGGTGAGAAATGATCATTTATTTCACGTTCTGTATTGATTCATGAAGGAAATTCTTCATTTTACTATTGCCTGGAGATATAACTGATGCAAAACCATGCCGGGGAGATGAATATTTGAAGGATAGTGAACCTGCTTTGCTCTTTTATTCAGGAATCATGGGCTTTTATTAATTGAAGTTGCGGACGACAAATGTGGAGTAAATTGACATGTTAAGATCTGAAATTTATCCTTCGCAAAAGAAAAGCAAATGCAATTGCAACTCTATTATTCTTTAGAAGAATTGTGGAGTTTGTAGGTGGTCATATCTAATTTGTCATTAGATCTCAGCACAACTCCTTAATGATTAAAACTTTTGGACCAGTTACGTTAAATGCATAAACACAATGAGCTCAACTCTTGCACGGTGATTTACTTAAAATAGCACTTAGGGTAGCAATTTCAAGTCTACCATACCCATTGAAACTAGTTAGTGGCCTTGTCATGTTTTACCTACTTTATTTTATCGCCTTGTTGGAATAGATAGATGACCTGTTTATTCACTATGACAAGCTTAGTATGCTTGTTAGTTACTCTAGAATGACTCTGTCGGGGAACCCAATATTTCAACCTCTGATAGCTGCAGATATTGAGCAAAATTCTCTCTGGCTTTCATATTGGTGGCATTGGGGGACTCATTACCTTGTTCTAAAGGCTTACTCTGGATGCCAAGCTAAGTCAACCAAGTGCATGCTATTATATTCGGACTGTATTGGAATTACATCTGTTGTGCTGAGTTGCTAAAGTAGAGAGTAAAGCTAGTAAGGCGTTAACAGGAGAGGGTGCACACTTGAATATTATCATCCCTGTTGGTTCATCATTGTGAGGTTGGGCAATGCATTGATGTCTTTGTGACTATCAGGCAGGACTAAAAGGAATGAGATTTACATTCATTCATTCATGATAATGACGAGATCTGAAGATGTATTTTGTTCTACAGTAACACAAACATGATTCTCTTTTCGATTGGACAAGGCCAGGAAAAGTAACACGTGGTATGATTGTTGCACGTTGTTGGGGACCATCAAAATGCAGAGCAATTTTCACCTACCCAGAAACCACAGAGTGAAACTATTTGAAGAGCAAACAGAACAGCAATGAAAGCTAAACTTTAAGGAAAGTAGTAGTCATATTTTACATGTAGAAATTGTTTTTTATGTCACTCGTAATGCAATAGGGATACTGATTTGTACAAGACTGCCTAGACCAGGGAAAACTGCTGTGCTGGTATAGAATATTAACCAATTATAAGCATAAAGATACACACAAACGGACGAAGCTTCAGGTAACACATTTAAATTTCACTGCTTTGCTGCATGCGAATGACACTGTTTCTGCAGATCATATTGAATAAAGCAGTTCCCAAATAGTCGGCTAGTGAATCACAAGATTGCATGCATGTGAATGTCACTGTTACAATAATTGTATAGTAATAATAGAAGAATTGTAATCATTAATATCTTTGCTTACATTTTCAATCATGTGCCTAAAGTTACAAAAAGCTAGTGGTGGCCCATATTCCTTCTCATAGATATTACAGAACTGCGTTCGACTCTATCTTTAAGTTTCTAAACAGGGAATTTGGAAAGACTAAATTCATTGTTGAAACTGATTGTATTCTGTTGGGCGCCTTCAAAAATTTTCTCGTCTGCTGCTATGTGTTCCTAATGATCCATCTTCATGCTTCATGACTTTTTTTTTT